CTTTCTTTAATGAGAACAAAACAATCATGGTTACCAGAGCATGATTAATATTTATTTCTTATAACTAATAGCTAGTTCCCAATATTATGTTTCTGCCCTTAACAGTTCTTGTTCCTGAGGGAATGCATTGTACACATCCCTGGGTCTGCTCAGCGCTTGTCTGGGCAGCTACCTTTCTAATGGCTGTACCGTCTGCGGAGGGACTGGTTCCAGGTTGCCACCCCGACATGAGGAACACAGAGCAACGGGACCAACCCTGGGTTCTCAGGAAAGTCGGGAGATTAAAGCAGATAATGTGTTGACGCGCTTGGCTCAGCATCGGCACATAAAACACGCTCAGATCCTGCAAGGGGGTCCGAGGCGAGGCTAGTTGTTACACTGGCCCTGACCTCTCCTTGGTCCCGTTAAAAATCCCGTCTTGGAATTCCTAACGTTGATGATTAATAATAAACATTTTTCCTCCCCGCATACACCGATTTACGGTCCCCCGAGCCGCACCGCACCCGCACCCCGGGCTCGGGCCAAACAAGCCAAGTGCAGGCGCCGGGGAACCGGGAGCCCCGAGCCGGCAGCGCGAGTCTCGGTCTCCGACGGGGCGCCCCCGGGGGAAGCCCCCGCCGCGTCCCGGCCCTCAAGGGGCGGTCCCTGGGCTCGGCCTCCCATTGGCTGGCAGGCGCGTCACCTGCCCGCCGGTGAACCAGGAGGCGGGACCTGGCCCCTCCGGGGCGGCCGGAGAAGGGCCGACATGACCCGGGCCGGGCCCTGGGCCCTCCTGCTCCTGTACCTGCTGCCGTCCGCTGAAGGTAGGGGCGCGGGAGGGTGCGGGGCCGCGGGGCGCCCTGGGCGAGCGCGTCCACCCTCGGACCCGAGCTCCGAGCAGGGAGGGGCGTGGGCCGAGCCTTCCGGCGGCCGCCCGAGCCCGCGGAGCGCTGGTCGCCTTGCCCGCTCATCAGAGCCTTTGCCGTTCCTTCCCAGGAGAAAGCCACCCGTTTCCGAACGCCAGGGCGGCTGCAGGGGAGCAGGGAAGGCGACAGCCATAAGCCGCTGCATTTGCCCCTAAAGTGCATGTTAATTTCTCCCCGAGTCCTGCCCTCTGCGCCAATTCCGCGCCGGAGCCTCCTAGTGGGGAAGTCGGACCGGCGCCTGCCCGCCCCGCAGTCCTCTCCAGCGGGGTGTCGGGTGCTCCGCCCCCGACTGAGGGACAGGAGCCCCGGTGAGCCGGTGCCCCGAGGGGATCTGTCAGGGCGCCTTCTTGCTGAGCCCCATGGAGGGTAAACAAGGTGGCCGGGTACAAAATACCTGGGGATAGCACCAAACCACCAAGTCCCAACCAGTCCAGGGAGGTGGTCCTGAAATTGTCCCCAGAATGTCTTCCTAGAATTAGACTCACAATTTAAGACCTGGACGGGCCCTTGGACATAATCTAATAATTATATTTAGAGACAACTTTCACCGAGCAGGTTCTTTGTGCTGGGCACCACATTATCCTATTTAAGCTGTACAGCCCCGCCATCTCATTACGTAGATATTATTTTCTCCCTTTTCCGTTGTAGAAAACTGAGGCTCAGAGCAATTAAGGGAATTGCCCAAGAAGGAAGGAGGGCAGAGTGAGACGCAGAACAGGGAAGACAGGCTGCAGCAATCATGGTCGGCTCTGTCTGTGGGTTGGGTGGTTGACCCAGGGCTGTCTACCTACTGAGGTCAGCGCAGGTATGCCCCAGCCCCTGGTGTCTCCAGCAGTGAGTGTCTTTGCAGCTGATGAGGGACAGTGGGAGGGAGGGGAGGAGGGGTCCACTGTCTCCCAGTTTCACTGTCAAACTCAGTACCTTTCTTGCCTAGACCTAACTGAACTTTCCCCGAGAGTTTTATTCATTTTATTAAAAAAATATATGTATTTTTTCTAATTATATTTCTTCATTGATTTCAGAGGAAGGGAGAGGGAGAGAAACATCAATGATAAGAGAGAATCATTGATTGGCTGCCTCCTGCACACCCCCTACTGGGGATCGAGCTTGCAACCTGGGCATGTGCCCTTCACCGAAACCAAACCTGGGACCCTTCAGTCCGCAGGCCAACACTCTATCCACTGAGCCAAACCGACTAGGGCTAAAATATATTTTTATTGATTTCAGAGAAGAAGGGAGAGAGATAAAAACATCAATGATGAGAGAGAATCATTGATTGGCTGCCTCCTGCATGCCCCCTACTGTGGATCACGCCTGAAACCCAGGCATGTACCCTAACTAGGAATCAAACCGTGACCTCCTGGTTCATAGGTTGATGCTCAACCACTGAGCCACACCGGCTGGGCTCCTGAGGGGTTTTTAATTTATGCAACACAAACTGGTGTGATGAGTCAGGGTGAAGTTCAGCTAGATCAGCGGTTCTCAACCTGTGGGTCGCACCCCCTTTGGGGGTTGAATGACCCTTTCACAGGGGTCGCCTAAGACCATCGGAAAACACACATATAATTACATATTGTTTTTGTGATTAATCACTATGCTTTAATTATGTTCAATTTGTAACAATGAAATTGGGGGGTTACCACAACATGAAGAACTGTATTAAAGGGTCGCGGCATTAGGAAGGTTGAGAACCACTGAGCTAGATCCAGGTTCAAATCCTGGCTCCCCAACGAACTAGCTGTGTAGCCTCAAGCAAATGATTCACCATCTGTCTCCCAGCCTAGTGCCCCTCCATGAAAGGGAAATGACACCTACCCCATCTGGTGGTTTGTCCTCAGGATTGATTGAGGTTTGTGTATAAAATGCCAAACCCGTGTCTGGCAGCTGTTGAAAGCTCAAAAAAGGGTAGTTGCTCTAGCTGCTATTTCTCCACTGTGGCCAAGCTCAGACGCTGGCCTCCTGCCAGTCGTCGGCTAGAAAATCCAGGAGCTGGGAGCAGTGGCAGCACCAGCATCCCAGTGATCCATTTCCGACTTGAGGACACTGGCACCCATATTGGGGCCTAAAAGACCAGGGGTAGGGAGCCCAGCTGAGACATCAGTAGAACTGCCCTGACTGTCCCTAATGCCGTTCTGTAACCTGTTCTGTAATCTGTATGGATTTCTGTCCTGGCCCAGGTGGCACTTCAGGGCACTGAATTCTCCATGGGACCAGAGTGCCTGAAGGGCAGGGATGGAGTTGTATTCTTCTTTGAAACCGCTGGAACACAGTCATCAATAGATATTGTTGATCAATAATGGCCCACTGATGTTGGAAGAATAAAGCTGAACGGGTCCCATGAGGAGGCTGTGTGGTCAAGAGCTCAGACTTTGGGGTTGGCTAGGCCTCGATTTGAATTCTGACTCTACAGTTCATTAGCTGAGGGGGCCTCAGTTTCCTCATCCGTAACGGGATGATCACGATTAGTACCAAATGCCTAGGGGAGTGGGGAGGTTTGAAAGAGGAAATGCAGGCAATGTAGTTAACATAGTGCCTGGCACATAGTTAGGACACAACACACATTAGCTGCTAGCATCACCACTTCTTAGAAATGTCCAGGAAGGCTCCCTGGAGGAAGTGACATTTGAATTGAGTCTTTAAAAGATTAGATGATGGCCCTGGCGAGTGTTCTCAGTGGTTACAGCGTTGGCCCACACCCCAAAGGATTGCAGGTTTGATTCCTGGTCGAGGGCCCATACCTGTGTTGTAGGTTCCACCCCCAGCCCTGGTTGGGGCACATGTAGGTGGCAACCCATCAGTGTCTCTCTCTGTGTCTGTCTGTCTGTCTGTCTCTCTCTCTCTCTCTCTGTCTGTCTGTCTCTCCCTCCTTCCCTTCCACTCTCTCTAAAAATCAATAGAAAAAAATATCCTCAGGTGAGAATTAACAAAAATAGATAAATAAAAGATTAGATGCTGAATACCTGGCAGTCAAAGACACCTGGGTTCAGAGGCATCCCCAAGAATTCAGTGGTTCGAGAAGGTCAAGGAGGAGGATTGGAGCAGCCTAAGAGCCTGTGGGGAAGAGGTCGGCTAGATGGCCAGACCAGGCCAAGCTGGGCAGGGCCCCATGTACTATGATAAGGACTGTGGACTTTATTCTGCAGGCAAGGGAAGGGCACGGAACTGGGCAGTTGTGTAATCAGGTGCATATGTCAGAAGAGGGTTAGCAGTGGGAAGGAGGGGAAGTGTCACTGAGACAGTAATGCTTGCTGTTCATGGCTGTTCCCAAAGCGTGCCTGGCATTCCTCAGGAACAGCAAAAAGGCCAGTGTGGCTGGAGAAGAGGAAGCAAGGGGCAGATGAGTGGGTCAGAGAGTGACATGATCTGACTTTCATCTGAACTTCTGCTGTTGTGTGGAGACAAGGTTGGAAGCAGGGAGACCAGGTAGAAGGTCTTCAGAATAATCCAAGTTATCACAGTACTAGAGGCCCCGGGGCACGAAATTTGTGCATTGATAGGGCTGGCCTGGGCCTTCCTTCCCCTGGCTGCCATCTGCTGGCCGGGGCCTTCATTCAATCTGCGCTGCCCCCTGGTGGTCAGCACACGTCAAAGCAAGCAGTCAAACTTCTGGTTAGTCGAACTCCCAAGGGTATAATTTGCATATTTGCCTTTTATTATATAGGATTTATTCAGATATTTATTGTGCATCTACTATGTGCAGGGACCATTGCAGGCAGGCTCTGGGGACGTGGCTGAGAAACAGACAGAGCCCCTGCTCATTGAGACCCTGGAGCTGTTCCCTCCTGTCGTCCAGGAGACCCAGATGGTCCTGCTCTGTGGTCTGCTGGAACCATCAGGTGTCAGAGTGGGCAGGAGCTTCCTCTGAGGGGCAGGTGGGCTGCTAGGCCTGGGGAGGGCACGAGGCTGCAATACAGCCATTCTGGTGTGACTGTCACAGGGATCCTGGTCCCCAGCCTCCACCACGTCCCCCGCGCTTCAGCCACCCAGAGGCTCCTGGTTCCTCAAATTGCCTGCCATACCACTCTTCGGCTCCGAAAGGCCCAAGTCAAGATGAGCCAGGAGCTCCAGGCTTCATGGCCTCTTCCTCCCCCACAGGGAGGGCCCCTCTGGCCCCGCCCCAGAACGTGACGCTGCTCTCCCGGAACTTCGGTGTGTACCTCACTTGGCTCCCAGGGCCCGGCAACCCCCAGAACGTGACCTATCGTGTGGCCTATCAGAGGTAAAGGGGAGCCTCCAGGCTGTGGCTGGGAGGCTGAGGAGGTGGCAGGGGTGGGAGGGGCCTCTTGGGAAAGCTGCTTTCCGCGTGGGCAGCATTTGCCAGCTCTCTGGGTCCCTGGGGAGATGGCATGGCAGGTGCTTGGAGAGGGCACTTGATAAAGGTCTGGAGGTGGGAATGGTGCTGAGTGGAGAGCAGTGCACAGGTGATAGGCCTGCCAGGGGTGAGGGTGGGTCTTTGAGAAAAGTCGGGCTTGGGTGGAGCAATGAGGGCCAGCGATGGAATTGGTGGGGGCCTGGATTCAGGGCTTGGGGCTGTTCGGGCAGGTGAGGGAGGGCAAGTGGGTCTCCTGCAGAGCCCGTGCTGGGCATCAGTAGATGAACACCCTTTTCCCCACGGAACCTGCACAGAGCCTCCTCGCCAGCGTCCTTCCCAGCCTGGCAGGCCAGGCAGCCACTACCCACCCAGAGGTACCTGAAAATGCCAACGGCTTCACCATCGCTGCACACAGACGGGAATCATGGCAGGGTCTCTAGTGGGAGAGTAAGCTGATAAAAGCACACGCTCAGGAGGATGGATCTAGAATCGGTGAGGAGGCGGAGGAGGACCCAGGAAGGGGAGCAAGCTGCTCTGGACTCAGGACCCCTTCCACCTGCTGGGCTGAGCCTCGCATGAGTATTTAGCTTCTTTCTCCCAGTATCACCAGGCAGGCGCTGGGCTTCCCCATTGTAGAGATGAAGAAACAGCTCGGAGAGCTGCCGTGATTTGCCAGAGGAAGCTGGTGATGGAGCCAGAAGAAAATCCCAATCCTGTCTGACCCCAGAGTTTGTGCTCTTCCTATTCCGTCACCATCCCTCTACCCATAGCACCCAGATGGGAGTGACGGGGGCCTGGCTTGGAGGACCGTGTGTGTGTGTGTGTGTGTGTGTGTGTGTGTGTGCTGTTAGGCCCGCCCTGAGGCAATGCATTAACCGTATTTAATCGCGTGGTCCTTTGAGGAAGGAGGCAGTGAGGAGACTGAGGCACCACGCGTGCCTTTTGCTCAGGGTCGCACGGCTGGAAATCGTGGTGCGGGATAAATGGATTAAAGAGCTCCAAGGACCTTTACAATACAATAGTGTCCTTCTTGTTACACTGTTTAAACACCTGCGAGAATTGCAAAATGGTACTATTCTAATGGTACTATTTCTTATTTTGTAGTGGGAATTATTTTATAAAGAGATGCTTTCTTTATAGTATTTGATCTTCAGAGGTACTTTTCAAATCGGCAAGACAGGATCCACGCTTGATTCCCCCCCCCCCCTTTTATTTGCCAGTTTTCAAGATTTGGTTCTCTGTCACCTCCCAAATGGTGATTGATTCATTTATCTTTTTATTATTATGATGAACTCAAGTATTTGAAGGTGTCCGATGGTTTCAATCTGTTGCAACTTATTCTCCTCAGTGAAGCTTGAATTGTCCTATCTTTGGCCAGCGAACGGCTCTTCAAGTTGGCTCCTGAGTCCTTTGAACTTGACCCAGTTGACTTTGACATCTTTTATTGTTATGACAAGATGTTCCAGGCTCGTTTGCACCATTCCTAACCTAAAGCCTGAAATCAGTCACAACCAAGCCCTCTTTATCAAAAGGTTTTCAGCCCCACTCTTGGCATGCTCTCCAGAATGTGCTTTCTCGCTCCCTGCAACCTGCATGCGCTGAGAATTTTTCAAATCTTCAATTTTTAACAGTTTCTTCTATTTATTGCTCTTCTCGCTCCTCGTTTTACTCTAAGCAGAAAGGAGAAACCAGATTACATCTCTCACACTTTACATTGAAATCTCCTCAGCTAAATACCCAAGTTCATCACTGTTAACCTCTACTTTCCGAAAAACACTAGAACGAGATTCAACCATGCTCTTTGCCTCTCTCTCTCTCTCTCTTTTTTTTTTTTTTCTACATGGGGATTTCTACAGGCTTTTGATCCAAACTAGTTATTTATAAAAAGACATGTAAGGGACAGTGGGGAAATCTGAACCCAGACTGAATACTGACATTATGGAATTTTTAGTAATTTTCATAGGTGGATGACAGTTCTGTGGTTTTGCAATTCTTTGCCTCTTTATACCAAGGATCACCTTCCCTTCAGTTTCCAATAAGACGTTCCTCCTTCCCACCTGAGATCTCCCCAGAATCACCTGGAACACCCACATTCCTACCAACAGTCTATTCAAGGCAGTCTCGACTTTTTCCAACGTGCACCCCAAAACTCTTCCAGCCTCTACCCATGACCCAGTAGCAAAACCACTTCCACATTTTTCAATATTTGTTACATTAGCACCCCACTATGGTACCGAAATCTGAGTGCGTTTAACTTAGTTTGCTGGGGCTGCCATAACAAAGTATCATAAACGGGTTGGTGGTGAGGCTTACACAACGGGAATTCGTGTCTCACAGTTCCGGAGGCTGGCAGTCCAAGATCAAGATGCTGGTGTATTTGCTTTCTCCTGAGGCCTCTCTCCTCAGCTTGCAGATGGCCACCTCCCCACCTGGCCTTTTCCCTGAGGTCCCTCCCTCTTCGTTTAAGAATATCAGTCTTCCTGATTTAGGACCCCAACCTTATGAACCAAGTTAACATTAATACCATCTGTAAAGGGCCTGTTTCCAAATACAGTAGCCTCACCTTATTCATGGTTTTGCTTTCTGGTGGTTTCAGTTACCCGAAGTCAACCAAGGTTCAAAAATATTTAATGGAAAATTCCAAAAATAAGCAATTCCTAAGTGTTCAATGGCACGCCATTCTGAGGAGCGTGATGAAATCTGGCAACATCCCACTCCATTCCGGGACATGAATCACCCCCTGATCCAGCATATCTATGCTGTCTACGCTATCCACCTGTCAATCACTTAGTGACCGTCGCAATGATCAGTTTGGTTATCAGAGCTGGAGAGACCACGTTCACATACCTTTTATTATCATGTATTGTTAGAGTTGTCTTACTTTATTACTAGTTATTGTTACTCTCTTACTGTTCCTAATTTGTAAGTTAAACTTTATCAAAGATATGTATGTATAGGAAAAAAGACATATATAGTGTTTGATACTATCAGCAGTTTCAGGCATCTACTGGGGGTCTTGGAACATATCCCCCCTCAGATAAGGGGGGACTACTCTACAGGTTGGGGGTTAGGGCTTCAACAGTGTGGCTTAAGCAGTTTGTTCAGTTTGTTCTATACATGTTCATTAGACCAACTTCCATAATTATTTTGTTCAGGGCCTTGTCTGTCATGCCTTGCTCGTTCCCCAGGAAGAATGCCCAGAGCTCAGGTCCCTTCTGCGGACCTCAGCGTTCTCAGGGGGTTGGAGTCGTGGGCCTGGGTGTCCCCCTCTGACATCCACACAGCAGATGGTCGGTCCATAGGTGCCTGCACGAATAAACCTGTGTGTGGAATAGCAATAGCAATAGCAGCCACCATGACACACGACGGAAGGAGCCTGGGCTCAGGGCTGTTACCTGCACAGGGTCCCAAAGCTGGTGAGGGCCGGAGCCACAGTTCCCACCCACGTGTGTCTCTCCAGAGCCTGAGCTGGAGAGATGGACGGACGGAGGACAGATGGGTGGATGCACGGGTGAAAGATGAGTCATCACTTGTTCTGTAAGTCCCCGGGTCCCAGGCAGTTGAGTCCATGGCCCAATGCTCCTCTGTCTGTTTCCTCCCTCAGCTTTCTAGCAGCCCCTGAACGGTGGCGAAAAGTGGGAAAGTGCACAAGAACCAAGGAGCTGATGTGTTCTCTGATGTGCCTGGAGAAGCAGGACCTGTTCAACAAGTTCAAGGGCCGTGTGCGGGCGGTCTCTCCCAACGCCAAGTCCCCCTGGGTGGAGTCCAAGTACCTGGAGTACCTTTTTGAAGGTAGGTCTGTGGGTAAGGGACTGAGTGGAAGGTTCTCTGTCCAAGAACTTGGCTCAGTGGCACTGCTGTGCAACCGTCTGTCTCCCACTTCCCCTGTCGGGCCCGGGTCCAAGCAGCCTGATTTCATGGCAGGGAGTTAGGGGAGTACCACAACGCCACAGTTCAGCCGGTACCTCCTACTATGATATTTATGGTCTTCTATGGAGCACAGCCTTGATCATGAACCATACAGGCATTTATTATACTAGAAGGAAGCAAGTGGGGATGGAGAGAGGGAGGACAAGAAGGAAAGGCAGATGGGTGGATCAGTGGTTAGCACAGAATCAAGGCTGGCTGCGTAGGGAGGGCTGGAAGGAAGGGGAGGGGGAGGAGAAGTGAACAAACAAATGAAGGAAGGAAAATCAAGAAGGAAAGATATGGGAAGGAAAGAAGGATGGATGGGTGAGTGGAAAAGTAGGCTGATTGGCTAGAAAGGATGGATGGGAAGGAAGGAATGTTGGCTGGGAAGGAAAGATGTGGAGGCAGGAACAGGGGCTGTTCTGCTAGAACAGTGGCTCTCAACCTTGGCTGCACATTAGAATCACCTGGGAATCTTTTTAAAATCCTGATTTCTGGGCCTCATCCTCTGGAAATTCTGTTTCTTTGTTACTGATGTTGTGGCCTCACCCCATAACAAAGAAACAGAATTTCCAGAGGATGAGGCCCAGAAATCAGGATTTTAAAAAGATTCCCAGGTGATTCTAATGTGCAGCAAGGCTGAGAACCACTGTGCTAGCAGAACGACGGATGAACCACTGAATGGTTGGATAGATAGAAATGGAGGGAACGATTCAGAGAGGAGATGGCCTTTTTTTTTTTTTTTTTAGTTACTTTTTTGCCTCCTCCTCCCTGAAGCACTCCTGATTTTCCTTCAGCACACCCTAAGCCCAAATGGCCCTTCCTGCCTTGTTCTGCCCTCCACTGTGGCCCTGGTCACTTTCTCTGTTCAGTTTTGGTAGTTTTCATATTTCATTTCCCCCTAATTCCTTTCAGTTCCTGCAGGGCAGGACCCATGGAGGCCTCACCTCCCTATTCCCCTCAGCTCCTTGCCCAGAGCATAGTACATAGTCACTATACCCTAGACCAGTGATGGCGAACCTTTTGAGCTCGGCGTGTCAGCATTTTGAAAAACCCTAACTTAACTCTGGTGCCGTGTCACATATAGAAATTTTTTGATATTTGCAACCATAGTAAAACAAAGACTTATATTTTTGATATTTACTTTATATATTTAAATGCCATTTAACAAAGAAAAATCAACCAAAAAAATGAGTTCGCATGTCACCTCTGCCACGCGTGTCACAGGTTCGCCATCACTGCCCTAGACTCTGACCTGCAGCACTGTGAGATACTAGATGTGGGTTGTTTTAAGCCACTAAGTGTGTGGTGCTGTGTTAGAGCAGCCATAGAAAACTAATACGTAAGGGCAGGATTCTGGCAGGCCAGTGGTATGTGAGGGTACAAGGGACAACATGAATAAAGGCAGGTTAACTGTGAGCGTGGCCTGGTCATTTCACCTCTCTAAGCCTCAGTTTTCCCTTCTTTAAAATGGGACTAGTGATATCCCCTCCAAGGCTTAAATAAAATGGCCGGGAGGCTCCTGATTCCCGGTTCCCCTTTCCAGGACAGCTCTCTGGGCTGGGCGAGGAGCAGGCTCACCTGGAGGCGGGGCAATGGGCGCACCGTAGCCCCAGAGGGTCCTGACAAGTCCTGTTCTGTTTCTGCAGTGGAGCCAGCCCCACCTGTCCTGGCAGTCACTCAGACAGAGGAGGTCCTGAAGGTCAATGCTACCTACCAGCTGCCCCCCTGCATGCCTCTGTCAGATCTGAAGTATGAGGTGGATTTCTGGAAGGAGGGGACTGGGAACAAGGTAGGTGCCCCTTTCCTGCCCCCTACTTGTGCCCCCTTCCTCCACAGCCCTACCAAACCTCGGTGCTCCTCACCTTCCCAGCCTCCTACCTGCACGCCTCCTCCAGGAAGCCTTCCCACATACCCTTCACTCTTGGCATATCCCTGCCCTTCTCCACCTAAGAGGCCAAGTACAGGGCATCCTGTCCCTGTGCCTTATAGGTGCTAACAGCACAGGCATTTTCTAACTAATATATTTTTTTAATTATGAAACCTATTGGGGTTTGTTTTTGGTTTTTTTACAATAAAATCTGATTGAACTATGGTGAGCTACAGGAGGCCTGCTTGCCCAGTCACTGGGTTCATTATAGAAAAGTCAGAAAATACACATGAGCTCTACAGGGAAAACCGAAAGTATCAGAGATGGCCACAAATAAGTCTTTGGTACCGATCCAGTTTCAGACTTGTTTTCTGTGGGTGCGCGTGTGTCTGTCGGTATTTATTTATGGCAGGGTTGGCAAACTTTTTTTGTAACGGGCCAGATGTAAACATTTGTGGCTTTGCAGACCCTGGAGCCCAGCGGTCGTCAACCTTTCGGACCTCGCGGACCACCAGTTGGCGACCGCTGCTCTAGTCTGTCACCGCTACTTGGCTCTGCATCTGTAACACAAAAGGAACCAGAGACAATATGTAAATGCACAGGCTTAGGTGGTTTCCAGTGTCGCTTTTTAAAAAGCTGGCAGCCAGGCCTGCCCCCAGGCTGTATAGCTGACTGACCCCATCCTTACTCAGTTTTTCTTTCACTGAACCAGCAGTCACACTCCTGGCCTCCTGCATCCTCTGGTTCCCAGGATGTACACCACTTGAGGTGGTCCATGCCTTCGAGAACCTTACAAATACCCTGGACCAGTGGCCGGCAAACCGCGGCTCGCGAGCCACATGCGGCTCTTTGGCCCCTTGAGTGTGGCTCTTCCACAAAATACCACGTGCGGGCGCCCACGTACAGTGTGATTGAAACTTCGTGGCCCCCGTGCAGAAGTCGGTTTTCGGAAAGGAGACAGACGAAACAAGTATACAAGACGAGTGTGGATGGGAGAGTTGGGAGGGGTCGACCTCAGCGAACGTACCTCAATCAGATTGAGGACTGCCGGGAGCCGGTCCATGCTTGCTGTTTCAAGGGACCTGGCATATATGGCATACTGTTCTTAATATGTTTGCTCACCTTCTTGGCACTATGTGTTTTAACCAAGGTCTCTGAGAAAGGTTGTTTCCCCAGGTAGGGATTTTCCCCTGAAGTTAGGGAGGGAATAAAACCTCTTAACTAGTGCCAGGTGGGTAATTAATCACTTTAACTACGAACAATCATGCTTAAGCTACATAATCTTTACTCCCTGGAATGGAGATAAGAAACGCCCTAACCTTTGTAATAGAGATTGATAGGATTGAATCAACTGGTATAAATACAGATGTAACAAGACAGCAGGACACAGAACTCAGAACGAAGAAGACAGAACTCAGAAGAAGGAACCTACACAGACAGAAGAACTTCGCTGGAGAGAACATGGCAAAAGATCCTGCACTGAACCTGACTACAGAAATTGGCAAGAGAACCTGACTAGAACCTGGTAACTGAACCTGGCTGGAGAACCTAGCAAGACAACATGGACACAGAACCTGGCTGCAGATCCTAAGCAGAACTTCGCTGGAGATCCAGACCAGAACTTGGCTGGAGATCCTGGCTAGAGAAACTGACTGGGCTGCTGATCAACTGAACGCTGTCTCCATGTCCTTCCTTCTTCGCTGACTCCATCCACACCTTTGGGGACCCCTGGACCTGCTGGGGCCGGACCCCGGCAGAGGACGTTTTTAGCAGAGGCCAGCTTAGGAGTACCCTCATTAAGTTAATAACAATGTACCTACCTATATAGTTTCAGTTTAAAAATTTGGCTCTCAACAGAAATTTCAATCGTTGTACTGTTGATATTTGGCTCTGTTGACTGAGTTTGCCGACCACTGCCCTAGACCGGTACTCTCCAATAGAAATGTAATGCAGCCCTGGCCGGTGTGGCTCAGGTGGTTGGGCATCATCCCGTGCACCAAAAGGTCGCCAGTTCAATTCCTGTCAGGCCACATGTCTGGATTATGGGCTCTATCCCTGGTAGAGGGTGAGCAGGAGGCAGCCCATAGATGTTCCACTCTCGCATTGATGTTTCTCTCCCTCTCCCCTATCTCAAAAATCAAAAAATATATATTTTTTAAAAGAAATGTAATGCAAGCCTAATGTGTAATTTTGAATGTTCCTTGTTAAATTAAATAAAAAGAAACAGGTGAATTTAATTTTCATTATATACTTCATTCAATAGAATGTTATCGTTTCAACATGTAATTAATATAAAAGTTATTGAGATATTTGACATTCTTCTTCCTTTAGTCTTGGAAAGCTGATGTGTATTTTATGCTCAGAGTCCATCCCAGTTTGGACTGGCCACACTTCAGGTGCTCAGGAGCCACATGTGGCCAGTGGCTACTGCATTGGATGGGCACTCAAGAGTTTTCTGTGTCTGTGATGGCAGAATGATGCCCCCTAAATAAGTTGGGATGCCCTTGGGACAGGAAGTCTGAGGGATATGCCCCTCAAAGTGAAGGCCAGCAGTCCCTGGGCAGGGGGCTGGGGGTCGGGGGCAGGGAGTGATCCTGAATGGCAGGGGTGCTTTTGAACCCAGACCATCTCTACCTCGAGACCATCTCTAACTCAGCAGAAAATAAGCCAGATAGTTCTGGGAAGTGCTTCTTGAACACTTGAACTTGATTGCAGGAAAAGAAGTTGCAAGATCCCAGCTGCCAACCCCACCCCATCCTGGCTGTGCAGAGCCAGTTCCCACAACAGGTCTGCTCACCTCTGCTTCTTTCTCCAAACAGACCCGATTTCCAGCCACTCCCCATGGCCAGCCAGTCCAGATCCCCCTCCAGGCGGATGCCAGTGGATACCACTGCCTCAGCGCCAGAACCATCTACACCTGCGGGGACCCTAAATACAGCGAGTTCTCCAAGCCCACCTGCTTCTCCCTGGGGACCCTCGGTGGGTGCAACGTGGTACAGCCTCGAGGACTTTCCCTGAGCGTCCGGATCTTCATAATGTGGTGGTTAGGGTGCATGTGTCAGACAGGCTCACCTCGATTAAAACCCCGGCCCTACCACACTCACTGTGTGTCTTTGGGCAGCTTCCCTAACCTCTCTGAATCTTGGTTTCCACAGTCAGGAGCATGAATTTATTCTTATGAGGACTGAGACTAGGATGAGGTATGAAAAAATAAATAAATAGGATTGTGTGTGTATGTGAAGCCCCCAGGACGGATGCAGTCGGTAAACCGGAGCCGTTGTTGCTTCTTCATCCTGATTATTTTTCCTAGGAGTCCACTGGGCATTCCTGGTGCTACTACCACTTCTGCTGCCGCTGCTGTTGGTTATTGCCACGGGCTGTGTGATCTGGAGGAGCTTCAGAGGGAACCCCTGGTTTCAGCGGGCAAAGATGCCACAGGCTCTGGTACGGCAAATCTGGGCATGTGCACCTGAGGGGGGAGGGTTGTTGAAGAGCAAGGGAGTGGGGCTAGACTTAGCGGTAGTTCAGACAGATGAGCAAGGTGGCCCAGACTGCAGAACATCCTTCCTTTGTATCTAAATTTCCACTATTAGTAATTCATTCCTTTGGCGCCAAATTCAAATACCTGGGAGGGAGAAGTGTCTACAGTCCCTGTGAGTTAAGTAATTGCATCTCTGCTCAGGATTTGTCAGGTGCCGAGAGCAGAACCCCCAGCCTTGGGACTCAGGAGAGATGCCCAAAAGGGGCGGGGGGGGGGGGGGCACGGGTAGGAAAAGGTGCCAAAAGGGGAAGACTTAGAAGGGTCCCAACACCTAGTTCACAGTCTACCCCAGGTGAGTCTGGCCCAGGCCGACCCTGGAGTTCCCTCACTGTCTGCTGGCTCACTCCCTTCGCATGTGGAGGCCACGCAGGCAGGGGAAGCCTGGAGAGGTCAGGTGGGTCGGACTCATGCAGGAAGCTGGGCCATAGGTGAGGCTCAGTGGGCACTGGGCTGGTGGGATGAATTCTGAGTGTCCCTACCATGTGGGAGAGACTATTTTTTTAATCCTCACCTGAGGAGTAAGGATATTTTCCCATTGATTTTTAGAGAGAGTGGAAGGGAGGGAGTAGGGGGGGAGAGAGAGAGAGAGAGAGACAGGAACATCGATGTGAGAGAGACACATCAATTGGTTGCCTCCCACATGTGCCCTGACTAGGGGTGGGGATCAAACCTGCAACCCAGGTAGGTGCCCTCACCAGGAATCACACCTGTGACTCTCCGGTGTGCAAGCCAATGCTCTAACCACTGAGCAATGCCAGCCAGAGCAGGGAGGGAGTATTTCTAAAGTTCCTTTCAGCAGCTAGCACCTGCATCCTGGGGGCTGTCTCTCGCCTCTGGTGTCTACCCAGCCCATGCACGTGGCAGGCTGCAAGTGCCAGGGAGGTGGCACTGCCTCCACCCCTCCCACCCTCACCTCATGGCACTGTACTGGCTGCCTGAGTCCCAGCAGGGTTATGCTGTAGCTGCCTTAGATGTCACCTGCCTGGTAACACCCATCGTTATCCCACCCATGTCTCATATGCCCACTCCCTGTTGGCCTTTCCTGGGATCTCTTCCCAGAGAAACGATGTCCATGGGCATCCTTGTCTCAGGGTCCATCCCGGTTAGAGCAGTCATGCTTCGGGAAAGCCTGACCTTCTGCTCTTGTCTCCCCTCCCGCAAATCAGGACTTTTCTGGACACAGATACCCCGTGGCAACCTTTCAGCCCAGTGGCCCAGAGTCCCTGGAGGACTTGACCCTCTGTCCCCAAAAGGAACTGACCAGAAGGGTCAGACTGACCCCTAGAGTCAGGGCCCCAGCCAGCATTCAGGCCGGATCAGAGGACGACGATGAGGAGGACGACGACGCAGACAGTGTCACCGTCCAGCCCTACATTGTGCCCCGTGGTTTCCTGGAGCAGGAGCACCAGACCCCAGGGCACTCGGAGGCGGGGGTCCAGGTCGAAGGCTGTCCTGCTTGCGATTCTTCAGACGGAAGCTGGGCCAGCACTGGCGGCTCCTCCCTCCTGGAGGAGGCTGGGTCCTCTGGCTATTTGGCCAAGAAGGGGCCGGGCCGAGGGCTGGGTAGGAGCAGGTGTCCGGAGCCTCTTCCAGGCCCCGAATTCTCCAAGGACTTGGGTTCCCTGGAAGAGCTCCAGAGAAACAGCACCTCCTGGGCCAGCTGGGGCTCCCCCTCACCGAGGCCGGATCTGGTCCCCGGGGAGCCTCCAGTTTCTCTTCGGACACTGACCGTCGCCTTGGACAGCAATGCCGAGGAGGAGGAGGAGGAGGAGGAGGAGGAGGAAGAGGATGGAGAGGAATCAGAAATTGAGGACAGTGGTGCTGGGAGCTGGGGGGCCGACAGCCTCCAGAGGACTGGAGCCAGGAGTAGGACGCTGGGGCATTACATGGCCAGGTGAGCTGTCCCCCAGCTTCCTGCCGAATCCGGTGCTGCTGAGCTTCCCAGGGGCCCAAGACGCCACAGAGACTTGAGGCCTGGGAGCATGGTCCTGGGGCAGCCATTGTTCTTGCAGCGCTTCCAGAACCCCAGCTAGAGGCTGTCAGTCGGCCTGAGTAGTAAGAAGCCACCCCATCCTGTGGCCCACCTGCCCTGGGCTGAGCCACAAGAGGACTGGAGAAAAGGATGGGCTCAGGTCAGGTCACCCCGCTGTCCCTGGACAACACGAAACAGGTGAGACCAGGTCAGGGGGCATCAAGGGCTGACACCACCAGGGCCATCTGGGCTCGGGAGAGGACATTCGGAGGCTCAGCTGTGTCAGAGCCTCCTGCCTTCCTCTGGCGCCTTCCTCCCCGAGGCTTGGCCTCCTGACTAATGAGTCCCCCCTGGGGCGGGCCCCCAAGAGGAAAAGTCCAGTTGGCAGAGGGTGTTGGAGGGGAAGGGAAAGGGTGGCCGTCATTCACATCCCAGGCTCCAGCCGTGGAGAATGCTCTAGGCTTACCGTCAGGCAGACCAGGGTCCAAATCCCGGTTCTGCCACTTCCTGGTTGTGTGACCTTGAGTAAGCCACTCTCCTTCTCCTGGATTCCTCATCGACGACTCCCACCTGGGGTGAGAGCGAGGTGTGCAACACGGTGGCGCTCTCTCTTCTCGGTGGCTGGGGGACTCTCCATCTGCCCAGGCTCTGAGACCTCTGGGCACCTCCCACCTGCGACCCTTGGACTCAGAGCACCTGGGAGTCTTCACCTCTTAGCTTGTCCAACCTCTCATCTACCTCATGTCTTCCACCTTCACTGTCTCTACCGCCAGGTCAGGGAATGGAGTTCTCAGAAGCCAGAAGCCAGCCAAGGGGGACCTCCCTCTGCCCAGTAAAAAGCCAAGTGGCCCATCTTCCAGGGGGTCTGATTTGTTGGGGTGGGGCAGCAACCTGGCAGGGAGTTGGCCTCGTGGGCTGTGATCCCTGTTGCGGACAGCACTTTGGTGACCATTGTGGTTATAACAAGTCCCATTTTCCTTCTAGTTACGGAGAACCGTCTGGAAACAGGTTGTTACTGGGGGTAGTGATGGGTGTTCACTTTGTTAACTGACACCCAGCAGTATATGGATGAGCATGGATGAGTATTCACCCAGAGAGAACAAGATTTTGTTAGAAGAAGCTGAAATGTTGACTTACTGTGTTTGTCCCCAGGGGTGAGATCTTTGGTGTCTGGCCAGCTGGTCCAACCCCTGTTATCTTGGCCATGTCGGCAAAGTGCTGAGGTCACAGCCAGGATTTCCAAGGGGCACGAAGCTGGCAGGAGGCCTTCGCTGCTGGGACTCGCCCACATACACACACGCGTGTACACATGTGTGCATTTCTGTGGGGTGGAAGCTTGTCCACCATGCTGAGCATGGAGCGGGGAGAATAAACTGAAGCCCTGTTGCTGGGTGAGGCTGGACTCAGGGCCAGTTCCCAGGCAAATGCCCAGACTAAGGCTAACGTTCTTTCTGATTCACTGATCCGATCCCCGGCTTCCCCTAATCTGCTGTGTGTTCCTTTCAGCGTGTTCTATATTAGCGCTCTGTCATTCTTTATTTCTGACTGGTCTTTTTCCGTCGTTACCATATCTTTTCTCGTGCTGTTGAGCATCTTTGCCATCATTATTCTAAACTCTACATCTGATGTATTTCCTATCTCCGTTGCGTTTCGCTCTTCTGGAGAATGCTCTTGTTCTTTCATTTGGGGGTTGATTTTTTGTCTCCCCATTTTGGCTGCCTGTTTGGGTTTGCATCTGTGTATTAGGTGGATCTGCTATGACTCCCAATGTCTAGTGCAGGACAACGTCAGACGCTGTTTGTGACTGGCCCTGAGTCCCGTTTGAAGCTATCAGCAATCCACAGCCTGTGGCTCCCTCTGCTGGGGCTGGGTGCCTTTGGAAAGGACCGAGATGCGCACCAAGGTCTGCTTTTCCTAGCCCCTGGCCCAAAGAAGATCAGGCAAAGACTCAAAGCCTCTGGACATCCTCCTCTGTCTGCAGTCTGATTTTTATTCTCAGAGTCTTAAGAGGGTGCCTGCATTTCCAGTCGCCTTTCACAGCCAGGTGTTATATGGGCACCTTTCTCAGTTCAGGTGCTCTGGGCTGGGGAGCCCAGCTTGGGGCTTAGACCCCAGCGCTCTCAGTGGGAGCCCCCCACAGGTGAGACATCCCCCCGGAACTTCAGCTGCTGTCTGTGGGCGCCCGGCCAGCCCTCTCGCTTCTCCGCCCCTCCTGTCACTCTCTATGCGGTCTCCACTTTCTGTCCTTGGTTTTTCTGTAGTTTACTTATATTTCCAGTTTGGCCCACTTACTCCGCCACCGTTTTTAATCTCCGATCAATTCTGATGTTCTTCCAACCCACTGGAGCCGCTTCATGAAGGAAAACTTCATGAAGTGTTTTGTGTGGTTTTTTTTTTAAAAAAAAAACTAAGAGCTATGATCACTCTGGTGTAGGAATTACTTTATCTCCATTATTAAAACTTGGTTTATAAGCTTTTTTTTCCCTCAAAGTTTAATTTCAGAGATAAGTTGAGTTTTTTAGTAATTCTAAATGTCAGCTCCTTTTAGACATTAAATCATTAAAAACTGTGGGAAACATTAGGAAAGAGCATGATAAACAATATAGTAACCTGTCAGGTGTGCTCAGCACTTCACTGTTTGCAAAGCCCTTTCCCATACACAGCCCAGGGCTCGCTCAAGGGCAGCAGGCAAAGAACCTGACGCCTCGGGTGAAAGCAGCATGACCACCCTTCAGAGCACGGTTGACTTTTAAAAGTATATATTGACCATGTCATTCATTTTTTAAAAAATATATTTTTATTGATTTCAGAGAGGAAGGAAGAGGCAGGGAGAGAATAACATCAATGATGAGAGAGAACCATTGATTGGCTGCCTCCTGCACGCCCCCTACTGGGATCGAGCCCGCAACCTGGCATGTGCCCTGACCAGGAATCAACTGTGACCTCCTGGTTCATGGGTTGACATGCCAGCCTTGGCTCTTGAAGGAGTGAATCCCCCCCCAAAACTTCAGTCATACCTCAGAATCCGTGGGGGATTGGTTCCAGGACACCCCCTCCCCTCGCCCACACACACACACACACACACACACACACACGCACATGGATACCAAAATCCACACATGTTCTAACCCCTTATAATATAACAGTGCATATAGTCGGCCCTCTGCATCCATGAATTCCCAACCATGGATCAAAAATATTGTTTTCCGTCCACATTTGGTTGAATTTGTGGATGCAAAACCCAGGGATACGGAGGACCGATTGTATACAGGGGTGGGCAAAAGTAGGTTTACTGTGGCAATGCAATAAATAATAATACAAGAACAAATTCTGTGTTTTGCGGACTCAAAATTGTATTTACTGGAAAAAAAAAAATCTGTGTAAATGGACCTGTGCTGTTCAAACTTGTGTTGTTCAAGGGTCACCTGTACTGAGCTTATATATTATTCTTAGATTTTTGTATTTATTTCTAATTTTCTATGTTTATATCATATTTAAATAAGGTCTTAATGCTTTTTAGTATCCTGTTTTAAATAAAGAGCTCTATTTTTTGGAGAAAAAGGCAGAATTGAATAGAAAAACGTGTGCTCTTATTTCTCAAAGGCTCCTCATCTAGCTGTTTGGACTACAAGGGTCGTGGGTTGGGTCCAATAAGAGACCAAGATTTCGGGGTACAAAGCTCTGCTGTCATCCCAGAAAGCATCCTTAGGGGTGATGGGAAGCCAGACAGAGGAAGGGCAGCCAGTCCTGGTGCATAGTCCAATAGGTCCCTGCCCCGGGCCACTGGGACCCAGTCCCCCTAAGGGGCGTTGGGAGTTCAGTGTGCGCCCTGCAGGTCTGTCTGCCAGGGGCAGGAGCTGGGGAATTTATCTACAGACTCCCTCCCGCAGAGTTGCAGGTACTTGCAGTTGGAATCCATCAAGGTGGGTGCACGAGAAAGGTGAATGCCATGGGGGAGGGGGTGGGACACCCACATCACCTGCTACAGTGAGGCCAGAGCTGTACCCACACCCTCGCAGCTCACCCTTTTGCAACTCTGGTCCATGGAAGGATACAGAACAGCCTCAGCGGCTGGCTGATGAGGTTCTCCCGGCCTCCAGCCCTTCTATCAGGCCACCTATAACTGCCCGGCATGGTCTTACAGGTTGTCACCTTTTACAGGCGCTAGACCCAAGCTGGGCTGGCCCTGGATCAGGCTCCAGCCTACTGCTGCCCCACTTTCCATTCCGAGAAACGGGAAAATCCAGTGTGCAGAAGAGACAAGAATGAGGCCACCACGCCAGCTGCCGAGATGAGATGATAAGCCCTGGTTCTGATCCATTCCTGCGGCCCAGTGGCAGCCCCGTCCGTCCTCATCATCTTCCCTGCCTGCTAGTGTTAAGCCATCTCCCAGGACCTTCTATGACTGACAACCAAACACCCTTGCCAATTCACATTACGTGCATTTTGCAGCTTGTGGTCTTGTTGGGGCATTGCCCCCTTGAATGGATGCGCGCGCAGTAGGTCCTTTCCAGAAAACAGGGCAGAACTCCTCTTCAGGTGACCCCCACCTGCCTCCCCCTGCCCTCTGATGCCAGGTCACCTTTGAGCTTCTCTGGGCCTGTTGGTGGCCAGCTGCTGGTCAGTGAGGGCGGCAAGGGCTGCCGATTGCACAGGGCAGCTGGTTTGGGAAATGGATGCCACATCCTGAGGACTCCTTTAGGGAGGGACTGTTTTGCTCCTGGCACAGCACCTGGCCCAGGTGGAAGCTTGGGAAGGAAGGAAGGAAGGAAGGAAGGAAGGAAGGAAGGAAGGAAGGAAGGAAGGAAGGAAGGAGGAAGGGAGGGAGGGAGGGAGGGAAGGAGGGAGGGAGGGAGGGAGGGACTAAGAATTGGAGTCCCTAAGGAGCTGGCCATGGCTAACTTACATTGCTATATGACTGACTGGAATGATAAGAGGGCCAGAGATCTTGCATGAGATGATCCCATCCCAGATCTCAAATTCCTGTTGCATGTGGATGACTGCTCTTCCTCAACCGGGCTTCTGGTGGGAGGTGAGGGGATCAGTGCTGCTCAGGGAGGAAAATGGTGAGGGAGGGGGCAGGAGCGGACAGCACCTAATCCCCTGATGTAACTCTGTTTCCCGTTTGATTTAGCACTTGGCCAATGGCTGCTTGCTTCCCTCTTCCCTGAGCTCATTGCTGTGTGCACAATATGATAGAAGGTGGGGGAGGGGGGAGACAGGCCAGAAGTTACATCTATATTTAAGTGGGTGAGTCAGTTCCATGAGTCAGTTACTCAAGAGATACTGGTTGGCACCAGGAGCCATTCCAGCCCAGGGAGCCCCACCTCTTGTTATGTGATGACACAGGATACAGAGGTGACAGCTCCCTATTAATTGTCAAGTCTCCCCGCCCCCCCTTCACACCTCTCTAGTGGGTTTGGAGGAGAAGGGGTGATCCCAGGGAGGAATGTCTCGGGGTACACTGTTGTGGTGGGCAAAACCGCCAGCTGGTGGTGGGAGGCCCCCTCTGAGGTCAACGCCTCCAGGGTAGTCTCGTGGGTTTTTTTCCTCTGCATTCCCCCCTCCCCAAGCCTCAGGCCACTAAGTGGATCATCTTGGAAGCCAGGTTCCAACGGGGCTCAGAATCCCACTCCACGCCCATCTCTGAGGCTTCGTGGGATGCCCCTCCTCTGAATAACCCTTAGCCAACCTCCAGCCTGAACTGGAGGCCTTGCCGCACTCCTCTGTCCTGGAATTCGGCCGCAGACACTGATGTCGACTGGAACTTCTAAGGGAACATTTATCACTGTCCTCACTGGCCCCTCCCGCTGTCCCCATCCCCACACCCAGGAGTCTGGGGTTTTGCGAAGCTTTCAAGGGACCTCTGTCGGTCCTCGTCCTTGTCCTCGTGTTGTAACAGGAGACTCAGGAAGTGTCCTCCGACACATCAGCTAGTTTAACCCTCCCAGCAGCCCTGAGCAGACGACCACTTCCCTTTTGTGGATGAGAAAGCTGAGAGTGAAAGGTTAAGCGACCTACACACTGTGGGCAAGTGAGTGGCAGAGCTAGGATTCAAAGCTGGGTCTGTCTGCCCACTTCCTGGCTCGCAGGGGCCCTGTGAAACGGCTCCCCCAATCCTGGCGTGAGACGAGGACCTTCTTAATGCTTTTAGGAAGCATGGTCTTATAAGCATGTAATAAGCTTCAAGAATTCTTTCCCTGAGAGAGAGCTGAAATTATACGCAGAGTCAGTAACTGCTGAGTGAGTTTGCGTTTGTGTGGTCGACAACAGCTGCGAAGGGAACTCCGCGATGTCAGGGGAGGTTTTTCAATCCCAAGTGACATAGAAGCAGAGGCCGTTCAAGTTCCAAGGGCCCTTAGAGGACTTCTAGGCCAAGCCGCCTTTTCAGACAGAGAAACAAAGGCCCAGAGAGGCGACAAGACCTATTCAAGGTCACCTGGAGTCAGGTGCAGGGTAAGGACAAGACCTAGGACCCCAACCTGGAGCAACCAGGTCGTGTCCCTGATGACCCAGCCCAGGCTCGGAGACTCCAAAGTGAGTCCGGTTCTCAGGCTTGTCTCCAAAAAGAGGCTATGGGGTGGGCTGCCAAAGCTTCGTTCCTTGCTCTTCCCACCCGTGAACGACCAGGGACCGCCTTCAGCTCTCTCACTGCTGGGCCCTGACCACAGAGACAGCAGAGCTGTCCCCCGCCCCAAAGCACACCCACGGGCTAGTGATGTTCTTGCTTCTGCAGAACAGGTTCTGGAGTCCCTGCGTGTTGAAAGAAGGGACGGTAGCAGGTCACATTCCTGAGCATCTGTCGTTTTAGGATGTGCTTTTTCTACAGCTTAGGGGTGTTCCACAGCCAAGATGGAAGCTGGCCAGCTCACCCCAGCTCACTCATCCAGTCAACAGACACGACCAGGTCCCTGCTCTGTGCCAGCTCGTGGTGGGTGCTGAGATGTCAAGGAAAGCAAGTTATATACTTTGTCCCCATAATCAATGAGGGGGGTGGGGGGGAGATAATATGGTGCAACAACACACACTAGGATGAGGGAGGGATGGAGGCTATGGGAGCACAGAGTGGGGCTCCTAACCCACCCAGGGGAGTGGCTCACATAGGCCCGGCTTCCTGCAGGAAGTGAATCTGAGAAGAGGTCTGAAGAAGGAACAAGAACGAGGCGGCAAAACAGGAGGCGGAGAGGCTATTCTGTGCCCCGGGTACAGCTTGTACAAAGGCTCGGAGGCAAGACCGTGCAATGCGTGTTGGAGAAAACAGGTGCATTTCCCCGGCAGTCCAGCCAGAGAGAATCAGCAGGTGCATCTGCCGCTATCAAGGCCAATTCCACATGGCGATGCTGTAAGTTCTCTATGCGCAGCCACGTGGAGGACACAGAGAAACACAAGGGGTGCTCTTCAGAGAATAAAGTGGTCCAGGGACCATCTCCCAGTGTCACGGCCTCTCCCTGAATACCCCCAGCAACCAAGAGCAGCCCATCTTCAAGTCAGCCACACCATCAGAGCAAGAGCTATTTCCTTAAACCCAAGGAAACGTGCCTCTTCGTTTGTCCCCTCCCAGTCCCCCTGGTTTTCCTGTTTAGAGGTGGTTACCCAGAGGGGGACGAGACCCTTCTCCCTGCAACAGCCCCTCTGGTATTTGAAGATGGTCCTCTTGTCCCACCTTGCCCTGACTGGAGTCTCTCCTTTCCAATCTTAAACAGGAGCACAACTGAGGAATAACATTGGAAAATGCTGAAGGTGCGGTGGATTAGAGTTCTAGAAGGATTTTTAAAGTGACAGTGTGATGGCTGGAGTTGTCACAGCACCTTGCAGCAAGAGAACCCATCCCCAGGGACTTGGAAGGAGAGGGAGTTTGGCTAAGGGAGAGGAAATGGTATTCCAGGAGCGGGGTGCAGCCCATGCAAAGGCACTTGTTTTTCTTTAAATTACAGTTCACATTCAATTATATATATAAATATATATATAATCTCCATTGATTTCAGAGAGGAAGGGAGAGGAGAGAGAGATGGAAACATCAATGATGAAAGAGAATCATTGATTAGCTGCCTCTTCCACGCCCCCTACTGGGGACCAAGCCAGCAACCCAGGCATGTGCCCTTGACCAGAATTGAACCGGGGACCCCTCAGTCTGCAGGCCAACACTCTATCCACTGAGCCAAACCGGCCAGGGCTTCAATGTTATTTTGTATTAGTTTCTGTGGACAGCTCAGTGACCAGACAATCGTACACTTCACAAAGGCTCTTCTTCAATGGCTGTTTGTTTTGTTCATTGATCTTGCTCCTCCTTAATACAAAATATTTCCTAGAAAAACTTCAGAAAATGCAGATGAGCCCAGGAAAGGAAATAAAAATCACCTGCAATTCTACTACCACCCAGAGAGAACTCCATTGATATGTTCATATTAGATTTTTCAAGACTTTTCTCTCTGTGTGTGTAAGTATGTGTTTTAACCAGGCGTGTACTATATGTAATCTATGCCGCACTTCCTGTCATTTGTCGAAACGTGGTGAATGTTTACCAGGACACAGGACACTTTTCTCCCGCATTACCTTGAAGGCTGC